GGCCGGGATCTCTACCCACCCTGCTGAGCCTTAACTGTCACCTTTCTGTAGTCTCCACCTATGGCGGAAACAGCTGTAGGGCTGAGGTCTTCCCGGCTTCCGGGCCAGCTCAAGGTCAGCCACAGTGCCCACGCTGAGTGCGGCATCACTGTAATCGCCACCTGACCATTTCTGTTCATTCCAGAGGTTTATGGAGCCCCTACCACATATAGGCTTAGGGGTAACTTGGGGATACAGGAAGAGCTCAGCCTGAGAGCAGAGTGAGTCCAAGTGGATAGACAGTCACTATGAGTCAACTGTGGTAACTCTGTGGCCAGCCTGGTCTCATTTTGAAACCTGGCCTCGCTATTTGTTAGCTTGTGACTTTGAGGAAGCTGCTCAACCTCTCTGAGCCTCAGTTTCCTCACTGCGCAATAATAGCAACCTTGTAAGATGATGATGCAAATTAGAAATGACATAATGCAAATGTCTAACCCATAGCTAGTCAATTAACGGTATTACTGGTGTCTAGACTCAATACCATGAGACTGCAGAAGGGAATATGTGGTGGGGTGGGGCAGGAAGCAGCACTGAAGAAACCAACAAAAGATGAAGCAGCAATTAAGCTGGATCAGAAAGAACAATTCCTTGGGCTCGCCAGGGGAGGAGGGCATGGCAGTGAGCAAAGGCACAGAAGCATTAACTGCCCCGTGCAACCAGAGAGGGGCAGGCGATGGGGGGCTGGGGAGCTGGAGCTGGCCTTGATCCTCCAGACAAGTGCACCTCTGTGGAGATGGGGGTAGTTTTCAGGAAGGCGGAAGATGGTCTGTTTCCTGGCCATGACACTAAGCAACCTTGAATCACACAATGAGGAAGTTATTCCCTTTTCAATTCTCTTTCAAGCCTTTGACTCCATCAAGGGAAAACCTCAGCTTTTAATACCTAATATCTGTGATCCTCACAGGCCTCAAAGGACAGCTTTCTGCAGGCAACGGTAACCACCAAGAATTCTGTAACATTGTTATGTTTTTGCTTTTATGATTATCTTCTATTCAAAACAAGTGGCTTTCTGCCTACGGAGGTGATATACATTTTACTTGTAAAATACATTTAAAAGTGAGCCATACAAGGGAAAATACTAAATAAATGAAGGTACACGGTGAGATGCAGAAAGGGCAAAAGTCACAAAGGTTGTACCCCAATAACCAATCTTCAGGAAATGCTGCTGAGGATGCTAGGAAATCACCCAAATTCTAAGCCAGGGAGGGCCGGGCCCAAATCTGGGTCTTACAGAAATAACTATGATTGAAGAGAGAGGCCATGTGTTCAGGTCTGGTCAGCAGAGCCCTAAGCCAATCCAGGCAGTGTGTGTCCTGGGGCTGCAGGCCTCAGAAGGTCCTGAGGGGAGACAGGACGCTGTTTGTGACCTTCTCTGTGGTGGCAGAGGGAGAGGCAGCCTTCGCGTCTATTCTGAGTTTCTAAATGAGAGTCTGTCTCTCAGATTCATGTTTCTGTCATCTCCCATCAGACCAGGAGTTTTTGGGGGCCAATGGCCTGCCTCCTCTCTCTCCCCCAACTGCCCAGGGCACCTAGAGTCTCTGTGGTCCTGCAGAGTGATCAGCTGCACGGCCTGCCAGCTGACAAGTCAGGATCTCAGAGCAGGGTGACCAGGTACCCGGTCTGCCTGCAGCAGAGAGGTTTCCCAAGACACAAGGCTTTCAGTGCTAACGCAGGGACAGTCCTGGGAAAACTGGGAGGCACAGGTCATCCTATCTCAGTTGGTGCTTGCACAGTGGGAGCCCTGGGCCACATCCTATTTGGTTGGAGCTCACTATGGGGCCAAAGTGAGAAGCCCACAGTTTGCATGGGCCCAGGCCGAGGTAATCAGCTCACATTTATATGAACAGCATCACCACCTCAGAGCCAGCCCCCAACTTTCTCAAAAGGTTCAGTGACCTTACCCTTTAAAAAAAAAAAAAAGTTTCACCCTGATTAGAAACCTCCTGTTCAAGTTTGAGAATTCAAAGGCCCTAATCATGCTACTTTCCAGGCTTGGCAACTGTTCTCAAAGGAAAGTCTCCAACCCTGACATTCAGGGCCCCCCATGACTGACTCCACCCCATCCTTCAACGGGAATTTCCCGAATTCTCTGAAGTACTCCTGGTGATCCAACCCACACAGCCTGCTCAGGGTCCCACGTCTGTCCCCCTGCCTTCCCACCCTGTCCTCTCCTCCTCCTGTGCCAGCCTAGAGGGCTCCCCTCACACATCCTCCTGTGCTTGAACTTCACCCAAACTTCACAGTTTGGCTCAAGTCACCTCTCCATGAAGCCTTCGCATATCCTCCAGGCAGAAGATACTCTTGGTTTCTCTGATCCTTTTCCAAAGCCTGGTCTCACCTGTGTTGGCCAGTCAGGCCTTCCTTCGCCAACCCACCCTACCCTCGTTAAGGAGTTGGCATACACAATTGACACAAATGATCCAACACATAAGGGATCAAACCCGTAATGCCACATGGGGAGAGGCTCCAACTGTCCCTCCGCCAGTCACTGGGGATAGCAAGGAGGGCCTTCACAGAGGTTCATCCATTCAGCCAAAGTCACTGAGCTGTCCACATGGCAGGGAAGGTGAACAAGACACTCACTGTCCAGGAAAGGCTGCTGGGCCTGCCTGACAATTCCATGATGACCACCAAGAAGCACAGGGCCAAGCAGGCAGAACAAGGCTCTCTGGGAATGTGTCATGGAAGCTGTGGCTCAACTGGGGTCACAAAGGCTTCCCAGAGTAGGGGACATTTGAGCTGAGACATAAGGATGAAGGGGGTGTAGCCATGGAAGACTAGGGATGTGTCCCTGCGGCCATCTCAGAAAAGAAAACAACGGATTTGGGAGTCAAAAGCACATACTCCGTCTCCATGCTTCCACTCCGTGGCCTGTGATCACCTGCCTCAGTTTCTGCATCAGCACAGCTGGCTGTTGTGAGGATTTGTGAGGATAATGGATGGGAATCCCTCAGCACACAGTCAACCTCTCCCCCAACATGGGGGATTACTGCTGTCGGTATTACCGAGGCAGCTCACAGGGGGCAGAGGATCCCAGGCAGCCAGATCTCTGAGCCCAGGCTTCATGGCAAATAATCCTGCCTCCCAATTAGCCCTGATCAGGAGGGAGGAGAAACGGGGCTGCCACTGAGTCTCCCCGGAGCCAGGCAGACCAGCCCAGGTCAGACCGTGGGGTTCTGATGGAGCAGAAACCGGGTGGCCGAGTGGCCCAAGGGGAAGGGAGCTGGATGTAGGCAGAGGAAGACAGCAACCCAGGGTGTGGCTGAGGACAAGACATAGAGCAGACAAAGAGGGAGAGAACATCCTCTCTGCTCCTGCCCACCCTCCCAAGCTGCCACAGAGAATTAATGGATGACTTCCTATCATGAGCGCAGCAGGGCTCTGACATTTACAGGCCATGAGGTCTCTTCAGGGCCAGCTGGGTGTTTAAAAGCTTGCGTGAAAGCCACCCTGTGAGGGAAGGAGCCAACTACAGACCGGAACTCCTGAGGTGTGCAAATACCCCGTCACCTCTCAGCAGGAAAGAGCTGGGGTGGAGTAAACTGAGATCAAGACCCTGGCCCTGGTGCCCAGCCACCTAGGGAGACCCACACTGTGAGCGAAGAATCCAGGGCCACCTGGGAGCACAGGTCCTTTCTCACCATGCTGGGCTTCCTGCCATTCCTTAAACATACCAGTCTGTTCACCACTCCAGGCTTTTGCTTTTACCGGTTCCAGACCACAAGTCGCTGGCTCCATCGCTGCATTCAGGGCTCATCTCAAATGCCACCTCCTCCTAGAGGCCTCCCCCTGACCACCTAATATAATTTAGCCCAGGGGACGGCAAACTGCAGCTTGCGAGCCACATGTGGCTCTTTGGGTACGTTCCGTCTCAAAAGTTTGCCAAAACCTGGAAGAGCCAATCCTGTCCCTCACAACAATTCCAAAATTATTTGAGAGAGCCATAAAACAAATGAAATCACCATTATGTGAATAATATCCTTTAAAAATTTTATAAATGAAACTATGATAGTTTTATTTTCAATTTTACTTCAGAGCTCTATGTACATACCCAAAGAGCCATGAGTACATACTCACGAGCCACAGTTTGCTGACCCCTGGTGGCTCTTCTGTCTCAAAAGTTTGCTGACCCCTGGTCTAGCCCATCCCCCACACTTAATGTACTCTTCCCCCACACCCCCACAAGCTCAACCCTTTATCTCTGCAGGTCTCTGCTCCTTTGCTTAGATGTCACCTCCTTCACAAAGCCTTCCCTGACTACCCTATCTAAAATCATACACCCTCCCCCAGCTCTCATCCTACCTCCCTGCTTTCTTCTTCTCTGTTTGACATCTTAGATCTTTCATTGATTGCTTACTGTCTTGCTGCTCCCACTGGAATGTCAAGTCCAAGAAGGCAGGGATTATTGGCAGATTTGTTCAATGCTGTATTCCCAGCTTCTAGAAAAGTGCCTGGCACATAGTGGGGACTCAATAAATGTTTGATGAGTGTATATGAATAAGTGTATATGAATTTTTAAGAACAGGGGCTCTGGTCACACTGCTTGGGGTTTGGTCTCAGCTCTTCCACTATGTGATCTTGAACCATTTACGTAACCTCTGAGACTCAATTTAATTAATCTGTAAAAGGAGAATAACAACAGTACCTACCTCATAAGATTATTGGGGGATTAAATAAGATCATACATATAAAGAGGTGAAGACAGTAACTGGCGCTTAGGAAGCACTCAGTACGATGCTGGCTGCCATCACAGCCTTCACCTGTTAGCATTTCTTGTTTATTTGCTCACTTATCACCTCTCTCCTCCTCTCTAGTGTTAGCTTCAGCCTGCCTTGCTCACTACTGTACCTCCAGTTCCTAGCATAGTGTGGAAAGAGAGTGGAAAGAGAAAACCAGGCCTCCTCTCAAGTCAAGCAATGAGCAGCTGGGAGACACAGCTTCAGCTGGAGTAGGAGACTCACCAATCTGTTTCTCCAGGGCGGCTGCCTCACAGACAGTGGCCCGGGGCAGGATCCCAGGGTCGGTGAAACTCGTCTGCAGCAGGCAGCTCATGACGAAGAAGAAGAGGACGGCGGCGATGATGGGGATGGCGAGGGTCAGTTGGTGGGCCAGAAAGGGACAGCTAGAGAGAGGAGAGAGAGAGAAAGATGAGCAGATACTTCAAGGACTCCCTGAGGCACAGGGCTACAGCAACCACCACCAGGTTCTTGAATAGAGCCTCTCTCTGAGACAGCAACCGCTCCCCAATCAGTGCCCAGACCAGACATCACTAATCGATCCTTGCACTTTCTCCTAGAGCCATAGCAGGTGTGATCAACAGATCCCAGCACTCTTAACCCCTGCACTTAGCTATAGCCTCAGAATTCTTCTAAACACAGAGCTTCAGGCAGCCATTATCAATGAATTGGATTGTCACTTGAGATGAACCATCTGTGGCAATGTTCACTCATTCATTCAGTCGGTCACTCACTCCACAAATATTTAGTAAGGTCCTCTACATGTCAGGCAATACCTTCAATAACAAGCAGGAATACTGGCAGTGAATAACATAAGAGTCCCCTGTTCCCTTAACGAGGCTTATGGTCTACTGGGGAGAACAGACATGTAAACAGAGAATTGCCACACAGGGCGTTGTGTGCTGTAATAGGGAAGGGGAAGGCAACAGAACAATAGGGAAGGGTAAGGAAACAGAACAGTCAGGAAAGGCTGGCTGAAAGAGGTACCTAAGCGAAAGCCTGAATAATGAGTAGGATCAGCCAGGTGAAGGGTGTTGGGAAAAGAGCATGGTCCAGCCACTACCAGTGATACCCAAGGGCTGGTGTCCAAAGTCAGTTCTGTCAGGCCCCTGACCCTAGTCGGCTGGGAGAATAAATACACTGTGCACAGATAGGGCCCTCTGAGGCCCACCCACATTATTAACCACTGTCCTGTGCTACCTTCCCTCCCGGAGCCAGGGTGGCACCTGATGGGGAGGAGCTGCTATTTGGGAGATGGCCGGCCTCTGGAAGGCCCGAATTAGCCAAGGTTCCAGGAGTTGGCATAGTAGCAGGAAGCAAACCTGTGGGCACCTACGTGCTATTTCTGGAGCCTCCTTCATCGGTGGCTCTGGCCTCCAGGGAGGCCCATCCCTTGAGGAGCAGAGACTGCCAGGCAAAGGGCTCCAAGTGTGCCACATTCTGCTCTAAACACCTCAGTGCTCCCAGGCCTGAACCTCAAACAGAGCCGGGCCCTCTGTGTCACCCACATGACAACGCAACCAGTTCAAGTCCAACCAGACTTCTTGGAGGATGAAGAAAACTTGAAGTCTGAGACTTTTGGAGCCCTGAAAAACACCAAGCCCCAACCCCCTGATTTTACAAAGGGGGACCCCGAGGCTCACAGCCAGATTCAAGGTCACTCAGCCAGTGACAGGACTAGGGTCTCCGGGCTCCCAGCACATGTTCTGTCCACTTGTTTAACAAATATTTACTGTATTGAGTGCCTACTATATACCTGGCTCTGTTCTAGTCACTGAGGATACAACAGTGAGGAGAATCAAGTCCTGCTCTATGGAGAAAAGCAAGAAACTAACAAAAGTATATGTATGGTGTATCAGATGAGAACATTAAGTCAGGGCAGGGAGGATGTGGGGTGGGGACTGGTTTGCTGTTATAGGGATGGTCAGGTAAGGACTGAAGAGAGTGAGGGAGGGGCCGGCCGAGTGGCTCAGTTGGTTAAGAGCTCACTCAAGAGTGTGAGCTCTGAGCAACAGGGTCACCAGTTCGATTCCCGGCCTGAGCTGAGCTGCCGCTGAACTACCAACAGGTGGAGGATGGCTCAGCTAAAAAAAAAAAAGAGTGAGGAGTGTGAGGCTACCCAAAGGAAGGGCCTTGTAAAGGTGCAAGGCCCTGGGGTAGGAGTGTGCAAGGAGACCAATGTGCCTGGAGGGGAATGTACATGGGGAGCGGGAGGAGATGGGGACAGGGAGGAAGCCTGTTATCAGGGCTCTGACCCTATTCTAGACAGCCAGGGAGGGCTCGGGTCTGATTTACAATTAATTAAAAGGGCAACTCTGGCTGCTGGGAAGCAGGGTGCAAGCTGGGAACCCTGTTGGGAGGCCTGTGCAATAATCTACCACACCAAACAATGGAGCAAAACCATTCTCAGCAGGAAGGACCTAGAGAGCCACCTTTCCCTTTCCCCAGAGCAATGGGCAAGCATTGCTCACCCTCCATGACTTCACCATCATGCCAGCTCTCTACTGAGACTAGGTGAAACCCTAGTCTGCTAGACCAGGGGTCGGCAAACTTTTGAGATGGAAGAGCCGCCAGGGGTCGGCAAACTGCAGCTCACAAGCCACATGCGGCTCTTGGGGTACGTACATGTGGCTCTGAAGTAAAACTGAAAATGAAAATAAAACTATCATAATTTCATTTATAATATTATTTTAAATTTTCCTTACTTGTAAAAATATATTTCTAGCTCTCAAATAACTTTTAAATTGTTGTGAGGGACAGGACTGGCTCTTCCAGGGGTCGGCCAACTTTTGAGATGGAATGTACCCAAAGAGCTGCATGTGGCTCGCAAGCCGCCGTTTGCCAACCCCTGTAGTAGGCTAGGTGAAACCCTAGTCTAGACCGATGTGAACTCTTGGCCCACCCACCCCCGCCAAATCCACCACCCCAAGTGAGGAGGAGCAGAGGTAAACGGAAGATGATTCAAAAGCTCTCCCCAAACCCAGAAGTCCTCACTTCCTCCCTCTCTGGGGACAAGTCTGTTACCAGTGAAGATACACACTCAGCCCATAGAAGGTCTTGCTTCTGAACTGACAGAATCCCACACTGCAGGTCATGGGGCCAACCCATGGCAAGCACCGCTTCCTTCTACCCTGGCTGTAGCCCTGGTGGGAGGATCAGGCCAGATACTGGAAAACGCACTTTTAAAACACCCACGTGAGCCGGCCCAGCAAAGTGGATCTGAATCTCAGTCTAGGGGCCATGTGGGGGCAGGGGGCTCCCCAGAGCTTCTGCTTGCCGAGTTATCCCTGAATTTCGTATCTACCCTGACTCAGAAAGGAAGGGTAAAAGGGAGAAACTAATTTGCTGGAAGGCCTCACCTTGCTTCAAGGGGAAACCCACGGTTGCAGATACATGATCTGGCAGCTAGAAAGGGTACCTGAGGGCTAGTGTCTTGTGGCAGCGTCATCATGGCCACAGGCCCTGGGGAAGGTTTTTTTGGTGAAAACAACAGTAATAGCAGCCAGCATTAAGTGCTTGTTATGGGCTAAAAGCTTATGTGTGTGACTTCATGCCACCCTCGTGACAACTTCAGAGAGTGGATACTATTATAAACCCCGTTTTATAGATTAGGAAACTGGGGCTCTGAGAGGTGAGGTGACTTCCCCAAAGTCACCCAGTTAGTGTGTGGTAGAGCTGGGAATTGAACCAGGTCTCTTAGCTCCAGAGATGGCATTTTTAACCACACTATATAATGCAGTAAGACCACAAAGGATGGGAAGGACTGGGAGGGGGAGTGGGGGCTCATGCGGAACAGGGTGGGTGTGCACGAGCGGACACCTGTGAGTGTGTATGCAAGGAATCCCGTAGCAGGTGGCTCAAGCTAGAGACCAAGGGTAGGGTGGAAAACCTCTGACACACTGGTGAAGTGATAGGCATCCCCTCCACATCCATAAAATGGAGGTACTGTGTGGGCCAATCATGGGTCATTGGGGAGATGAAGAGGTCAAGACCCCGGGGGGCAAACATGGCCTGTCACACGAAAGTACTCTGGACTCTACTGAAAAAAATAGAGAGGCACTACAGCTGTTCCTGTTATGGAACAGGCCAGAGGGGGATGCCCTGAATGTTAGGAAGGGAAAGAAAGCCAGGTGGGGGGAGGGGCTTGGGAGCCGGCTGGGGGGACAGAAGGAGACTGACCAAGGGCAGGAAGCTGTGGAGAAACTAAGGAAAGTGCTGAAGAGGGAAAGGGAGGCCTGAGAGGCCCAAAGATGTCTGAAGGAAGATTGCCTGAGGACCCCGGGTGTGAATGACTGAAGGGGAAGCAAGGAGGAAGGGTCTGAGAGTAGAGAGATGACCAAGGGGGACCTTACAGGGACCCTGGAGGGAATGGGAAAGATGGCTAGGAAATCTGTGGTGCAGAGTACATAACCAAAGGACACGCAACAAATTCAGAAGTTGTCTGGAAGGGATATAAAGAAAATATGCCTCGAGGGGTCAGAAAGAACCCGGGAGATGGGCCAGAGCCAGTCCTGGGGATAGGTGAGGCTGCAGGAGCGGGAGCCAGGGAGGGCTGGGGGCAGATTTTGAGAGGGGAGAGAGGATAACGGTCAAGGGACATGGGAAGGAGCTGTTCTTGGCATTGGCTGGCAAAGGTAGGGTGCCAGGGAAGGATGGGGGTGCTAGGGTGAGGCCCCAGAGGATGGAGTGGCTGGGAGGGTAGAAGGGACCAGCGGAGATAGGGTATCCAAACCGGCAAGGGAGGACAGAGAGTCTGGAGGGGCGGCAGCGGCCAGAGAGGGCAGAGAAGAGATGTGCAAGGAGACTTAGAGGCCTGACGGCTGACTCGGAGAGCACAGGGAGAATGCAGGCCCCAGGCAAGCAGGGAGCGGAGGGTGCCTGGCAGGTGCTGGGAAGGGTGGAGTGCCCAGGCGGCGGGAGAGGATGGGTGCACAGAGGGGACCAGAGGGGCTGGAGCGCCCATCAAAAGCTGGGGAAGTTGGGGTGCGCGGCAGGGTACGGAGGGGACCGGAGGAGATGGGTTGCCTGAGGGGGCGGGGACGGGGGCGCAGCCGAACTCACTCGAAGACGAAGAAAAGGACCGTGGTGGTGAGGATGAGCAGCAGCGTGAGCGCGAAGACGCCGCCGTGGCCGGCCAGCATGAGGCGGCCGCCGCAGTAGAAGCGGTTGCGGCCCGGGAACACTTCCCACTTGCGCCGGGGGCGGCGGCCGATGCTCCCGCTGCCGCTGCCGCTCCAGCGCGGTGCGGCGGCGGCGAGCGGCGGGGG